TCTCTGTGCGTTCAAGGCCAGCCTGGTCTACATAGCGAGTTCCAGGACAGCTAGGGCTACAGGGAGACCCTATCTCAAAAAGATTAAAAAAAACAAAAACAAAAAATGTTCTGAAAATAACTATACATTCTTATCACATACACTATAGTTTCTTTGTTTAATTAAAAAAAATTTAAATCGTATGTTCATGTATATAAGTGTACCCATGTCATGCAATGCTCATGGAGGCCAGAAGAGGGCATAGATACCCTGGAACTGGAGTTATGGGTGGTTGTTAGCCACCATGTGGATGCTAGAAACTGAACCCGTCCTCTGCAAGAGCAGCCAATGCTCTTAACGGCTGAATCATTTCTGCAGCCCCTGCCTCACAGTTTCTAATTGGTACATAGTAATGATACATGTATGGTACACCCTGTGGTATTTCCCTGTGTGTGTGCAATTGTATGTGTGGCTAAGGATGGAACCTAGCACTTGGTGCATGCTAGGCAATTGCTCTTCCACTGAACTACCCACCCCCAGTCCCAATACATGAATATAATATATAATGTCTAATTTAAAAATATTAAAAAATTTGAAATCAAGAACTAAAATGTCTGTGTAGGCCAGGTTGGCCTTGAGCTCGCAGTCCTCCTGTCTCTGCTTCCTGAGTGCTATGGTCATTCTTTTTTAGAGAAAACAGAATCATATGGTATAGTTGCTCTGCTGGACCCCATACATGAAGAAATAGGAACATGTTAATGAATATGGGCTGGGGATGTAGCTCAGTTACTAGAGTGCTTGCCAGGCATGCAGGAAGCCCTGGGTTCAGTCCCCAGTATCACATGAAACTGGATGTGGTGGCACATGCTCTATAATCCCAACACTCAGGTCATGGAGCCCAGATGTTCTAGTTAGGTTTCTGTTGCTGTGATAAACACGATGACCAAAAATAACTTGGGGAGGAAAGGGTTTATTTGGCTTACATGTTCTGACTGCAGTCTATCATCGAGGGAAGCGAAGGCAGGAACTCAAGCAGAGACCAGGGAGGAATGCTGCATATTGGGTGGTTTCTCCTGGCTGGCTCAGTTACTTTTCTTATACAGTCCAGGCCCGCCTGCCCAGAGATGGCACCATCCAGTGTGCTGAGCCCTCCCACATCAATACTCAAGAAAATGCCCCACAGATGTGCCCCAGACCAGTCTTAGGGAGGAAATTCCTCCATTGATGTTCCCTCTTCCCAGGTGACATTAGTTTTTGTCACACTGATAAAAACTAACCAGCACACTAAAAAATCAGAAGTTCATCCTCAGGTACATAATAAGTTGGAGGCCAGCTTGAGATGCATGAGACCCTGTCTCAAAGAGAACTAAAATATCTAATACCAACCACACAGTCTCTAACGACCCTAAGGTTCACCCATCCATCAGTTGTCAATTAGTTCTTTTGGAATACCAAGTCTATCAAGATACTGTACAGTCCTAGCAGGGATGGTAATCTGTAAGAGCATATATCATAGACAGTGACCGTCACCCAACTTCAGAGATAGAAGCAGTCACTGTGAGTAGTATCTAAGAAGGGCTTCGGCATCTATGGGAGGACTGGCAATGTTTCCACAGTTGGAGAGATAGCAGCTAGAGAGAGTGTCTGATACGGCACTGAGCCTGGCCCTGGGATGAAAAGTCTAGCCCTGTGATCTCAGCTACCAGGAAAGACTGGAGCAGCAGAATTAGGGGTTCAAAGCCAACCTGGGTTACTTAAGATCTTGCCTCAAATATACAAAAAAGAGATGTACTGATTCTGAGGAACTATCAGTATTTTCTCAGCTCTAGAGATAGAGGGAGCTGGAGAAATACCTCAGAGGTCAAGAGCACTAGTTGCTCGTGCAGAAGACCCAGGTTCAGTTCCCAGCACCCACATGGTGGCTAACAGCCATCCAAAGCTCCAGTTCTAAGGCATCCAACATCCTCTTCTGGCCTCTATAGGCATTGCATGACATAGGTGAACTTACATACATGTAGACAAAATACTCATACACATAAAAATAAAAAAAACAAAAAAAATGGAGGTAGAGGTAGAATGCACCTTTTTTTTTTAGACACTATGTAGCCCTGGCTGGCCTAGAGCTTGCTTACTATGTAGACCAGACTGGCCTAGAATCCAGAGCTCTGCCTGACTCTTTCTCCCAAGTGCTGAGATTAAAGTCTGCTACCCTACTTACCTTTTTTATTTTTATTTTTGTTATGTGTATGAGTGTCTTGCCTACACATATGTAAGTTCATCCATACATGCAATACCCTCAGAGAGCTGAAGAGGGTATCAGATCCCCTGGAATTGGAGTTAGGGACATTTGTTAGCCACCATGTAAGTGCTGGGAATTGAACCTGGGTCCTCTGCAAGAGTGGCCGGTGTTCTTAACTGCCTTCTCTCCAGCCCAGAATATACTTTTTAAAAACATGTATTATTTTTTAATTATGTGTATATGTGCCTTTGTATATGTACACAAGTGCAGGTGCCCTCAGAGTCTAGAAGAGGGTGTTGAATACCCTAGAGTTGGACTTACTGGTGGTTGTGAGCTGCCCAAATGAGTGCTGGGAATTGAACTCAGGTCCTCTGCAAAAGCGATTACGTGGCCGGGCATGGTGGCACATGCCTTTGATCCCAGCAGAGGCAGGCAGATCTCTGTGAGGTTGAGGCCAGCCTGGTTTACATACTGCAAGTTCCAGGTAAGCTGGCTACAGAGAAACCCTGTCTCAAAAAAACCAAAAAAATTAAATTTAAAAAAATTTATTTTAATTCCTAAGAGGTTTACTGGCCTTTTTAGGAAAGATTATTCCATATTTTTAAGAAAATCACTTTAATGACATATATATGTGTGTATTCTACAGCTATGTATATGTATATATGAGACATTTTGACATTAATCTTTTTGAGCCTTAGTTACCTTTTCTGTAAAACTGAGGAAATAAGAATCCTTCATTCAGGGGTTGGAGAGATGGCTCAGCAGTTAAGAGCACTGCTCTTGTAGAGGACCTGGGTTCAATTCCCAGCACCCACATGGTGGCTACGAACCATCCTTAGCTCCAGTTCCAAGGGAATCTGAAGCCCTCTTCTGACCTCCAACGGCCATATTGCACAACATGGGCGCACTCACATACATGCAAGCAATACATTCATACACATAAAAATAATAAAAAAAAAAGAATCCTTCCTTCATAGATTAGTTTAAAATTATAAAAGTTAATTTACATATTGGGTTTCCAGTGGTGCCAAGTATATAGTTTAAGGCTCACGAGTTTTGACTGTATTCATTCTCTATTGAGGAAATATGAAAAACCTCTTGAGAAGCTAAGTTGTCTACATGATTATGTAAAAACTGTCTGCCTTGGAGTGAGAATTGCTTTTATACAGATTACTGTTACTTAGACTAGAGTATAAGAGACAGGGAAATTGGTTTATCTTCTCTCCCTGGGCCCCTGGGAATGGAAGATTCTGGGTGAGCTTGGAAACCAAGAACTTTGTTGTTGACATCTTTTTGTATATTTAGACTAAACTATTATAGCTGCACTGATCTCTTTAATGTCTATTTCTCATGAAAACAGGACCTCTGTCTAGATATTGGTGTGTGTGTGTGTGAGTGGGGGGGGTGTTGTAGAAGGGTCTCACAACATAGCCCCAACTGACCTGGAATTACTACATAGACCAGGCTGGCTTGACCCTGCACAGTCCTCTTGTCTCTGTTTCCCAAGTGCTGGGATTGCAGGTATGCAGCACCTCTCTGGGCTCTCAGTCTGTTTTGTTCACTCTTATATAGCATTTCGTAACACAGTGCAAGGTACTTGAAAGACATTTCAGTAAAGCATATGTTTTGGCTGACAGAGATCATTTGACAAGGAAAAGCTGACTCTTGTGTGAGATTGTTGAGCTCATGAAGGAGGTATAGGGACCTAAGCTGTGAGGACACCTCAGGATGGAGTCTCTCTGTAGGGCTCACCAGCACTCCAGCCTCTGTCCACATGCCCATCCTAAGCTTTCTGTGCCATGGTCCTCTAGTTATTCCTGAAGCTTTTGTTTGTGAACTATCAGAATCTGGGTTTAGCTGTGCAGTATGAGATGCAGAGCCTGGGAACATGCCTCGGGCCACACGGTCCCTGGAGAACAGTCGTAATCTGTAGAAGCCACTTTAGAAACAGCAAGCTCAGTCAACTGAGAGTAGAAAGGTTGTCTGGCTTGAGACAGCTGACCATGTGACAGCAGACATGACTGGTGTCATGTGAATGGTTTTCTGGGACTTCAAAACATTCTTCAGAAAGAAGAATGTTACTTAAGGAGAAAGGTCTCCAAATTGTAATCCTGACATTAAATAGAGGCATAGGCAAAAGGCTGGAAAACCCAGAGCACTGTAGTTCCCAGGAACAAATCAAATGTAAAGGTATGAAGACAAGGGGCCTTGAGGACGTGAGTGTACCAGAGAAGTAGCTCCAACACAGAGTCCTGTTCAG